TATGTAGTGGAGTGCAGTGTATGTAGTGTAGTACATCTAGTATAGTGAATGTAGTTTAGTGTGTCGTGTAGTGTATGCACTGTATAGTGTATGTAGTGTGTATATTGTACTTGAGAGTTGGAGGTCGACTATTACTATAGCAACATGTAAACATACTGTTCCTTGGCTACTCTCATGTTAATCAATGTACTCCCGTCAGTGACTGTACCTACACTGGTCAGTGGCTACTGTCACCCGCCAGTGACTGTACCTACACTGGTCAGTGGCTACTGTCACCCGTCAGTGACTGTACCTACACTGGTCAGTGGCTACTGTCACCCGCCAGTGACTGTACCTACACTGGTCAGTGGCTACTGTCACCCGTCAGTGACTGTACCTACACTGGTCAGTGGCTACTGTCACCCGTCAGTGACTGTACCTACACTGGTCAGTGACTACTGTCACCCGTCAGTGACTGTACCTACACTGGTCAGTGGCTACTGTCACCCGCCAGTGACTGTACCTACACTGGTCAGTGACTACTGTCACCCGCCAGTGACTGTACCTACACTGGTCAGTGGCTACTGTCACCCGTCAGTGACTGTACCTACACTGGTCAGTGGCTACTGTCACCCGTCAGTGACTGTACCTACACTGGTCAGTGGCTACTGTCACCCGCCAGTGACTGTACCTACACTGGTCAGTGGTTACTGTCACCCGCCAGTGACTGTACCTACACTGGTCAGTGGCTACTGTCACCCGCCAGTGACTGTACCTACACTGGTCAGTGGCTACTGTCACCCGCCAGTGACTGTACCTACACTGGTCAGTGACTACTGTCACCCGCCAGTGACTGTACCTACACTGGTCAGTGACTACTGTCACCCGTCAGTGACTGTACCTACACTGGTCAGTGGCTACTGTCACCCGCCAGTGACTGTACCTACACTGGTCAGTGGCTACTGTCACCCGCCAGTGACTGTACCTACACTGGTCAGTGGCTACTGTCACCCGCCAGTGACTGTACCTACACTGGTCAGTGGCTACTGTCACCCGCCAGTGACTGTACCTACACTGGTCAGTGGCTATTGTCACCCGCCAGTGACTGTACCTACACTGGTCAGTGGCTACTGTCACCCGTCAGTGACTGTACCTACACTGGTCAGTGGCTACTGTCACCCGCCAGTGACTGTACCTACACTGGTCAGTGGCTACTGTCACCCGCCAGTGACTGTACCTACACTGGTCAGTGGCTACTGTCACCCGCCAGTGACTGTACCTACACTGGTCAGTGGCTACTGTCACCCGCCAGTGACTGTACCTACACTGGTCAGTGGCTACTGTCACCCGCCAGTGACTGTACCTACACTGGTCAGTGGCTACTGTCACCCGCCAGTGACTGTACCTACACTGGTCAGTGGCTACTGTCACCCGTCAGTGACTGTATCTACACTGGTCAGTGGCTACTGTCACCCGCCAGTGACTGTACCTACACTGGTCAATGACTACTGTCACCCGCCAGTGACGTCAATCCAACATGATGGCAGCTGTTTGTGTACAAACAATAGATTGAACTAGCCTACAGGTATTCCAATTTATATTGTCAAAGCTTCACTCCTGCACTACAAGAAACTATAGCTTGGGCTCACAGGAAAGCAATCACCCACATTCATACGATAGAAAGTACTGACGTATAATTTTATATATGCTTAAAACTGACTTTTTTTTTGCAGGGATATTCTTGTGCGGGCCCTAAATCTTTGGCTGACCCACTAAGTGTTGCTTGTTTCTGTTTTATATAGGCGGAGTATGAGTATTTATGACTTATGTTTGCATCAGTAAGATTATGCCCAATGTGTCTTACAACTTGTGCTCTTTTAAATCACAGTTGAAATCTTATTTGGTTTGTAACTGTGCACTGTGTTAGATAAGGTACCCCTACTCAAATCTCTGAATATGCTAGATATTAAGTCACTGCACATCCTCTCATGTGTATTATATATATATATATATATATATATATATATATATATATATATATATATATATATATATATATATATAACTGAAAACTCACCCCAGAAGTGACTCGAACCCATACTCCCAGAAGCAACGCAACTGGTATGTACAAGACGCCTTAATCCACTTGACCATCACGACCGGACAAAATGAGGTGATAGCCGAGGCTATTTGAACCACCCCACCGCCGGCACTCGGATAGTAATCTATCCGAGTGACTCGGGTTCGAGTCACTTCTGGGGTGTGAGTTTTCAGTTGCATATTGTCCTGGGGACCATTCAGGCTTGTTCGCATATATATATATATATATATATATATATATATATATATATATATATATATATATATATATATATATATATATATATATATATAAAGCGCTGAACTGTAATGCCAATCCTGACCTCAAAACCTTCATTGAAGGTTGTAACAGAACCCATGAGCATCACACCAGAAACAAATACCTTTTTGATATTCCAAGAGTACGACTTAATCAAACTAGAAATGCTCTACAAATCAAGAGACCCAGAATGTGGAATGACCTTCCCAACCATGTTAAAGACAGTACCTCTCTCAACCAGTTTAAGATAAAAACGAAGCACTACCTAATTAACTCCCTGTAACCTACCTTACCCCTATATTGTCAACCCATGTCTGTTATTTTTAAACAATGCTATTTGTCGACCTATTTGTATTTTTGCTGTTTTTCTGCCATGTTTCCCCCTTTTTTAGTTTTATATTTTCTCAACACATTTTATACTTTAATCTCAATTAGTATTAAGTTTTAGTCTTTTAGTGTTTTTCCTGCCCGAAACGCTTTGCGTAATAGTGGCTTTAGGCATTGTATGTACTAGCTAGCTCTATCTATAAATTCATTAATATTTGTATCACCCCTTGTATGTATGTACTTTACCTGAATAAACATCTGAATTTTTTTAATTTTGAATAATGTTCCAGTGGGCTGTCAGGCATTTTCTGCAATGCTGACATTTCCTCTCATCTTCTGGAACCTGCAAGCCTATTATTACTCATGCCCATGGGAATCCAAGCCTGATGCCGCGTAAGGGCCCTTCTGTTTTTCTATTGCTTCCTCTCGTCAAAAAGAACTGAACTATATCTGTATTTACACCATAAAACATAATCCAGACGGAATGACATTATAAGTGCGGAATTAGGTTGGGATACCGTTACTTCTGGCAAGTGACTGCAGGTAATCTCTCCCAACAGTGATCAATCCACTTGTATACTATATGGAACAAAAAGAGCTAGGATACACACTCTTTAATACTATATTGGTGAATGCTATAAATTTTACAATGCATGATATATACCTGGGGCAAATTGTAACTATATTACTCACTGATATTAGAATATATTCCCATACTTTACACAAAGGCTAGTATAGCTGACTCCCATCACAGGTATAACCATTGACCACCCATCGTTTGAGATGAGGATATTTATTTTTTAATAATTTATACAAGAGTTCTTACATTCTTGTACAGCCACTAGCACGCATTGCGTTTCGGGCAAGTCCTTAATCCTAATTTTCACACACACACATCCCTAGTTAGCAACTATCTATCCCCCAGGTACCTATATACTCCTAGGTAACAGGAGCATCAGGGTGAAAGAAACTTTGCCCATTTGTTTCCACCTTCTGCCGGGGATCGAACCCACACCCTTAGGACTACGAACACCGAGCGCTGTCCACTCAGCCGTCAGGCTCCCATATTAGATGAACCTCAAAGTTAGATTTTGAGCCGTACTCTGTAGTTCGCTATACGTGTACCTACGCTTATTTAATATGCATTATAAAAGTTCTCATGGTGTATTGGGTTCATAATAAACTAAATTAAAATAAACTCTTTTTAGCTGGCGCCTTATCGGTTATCAATATAATACAATGTGAATTGTTAACTGTATGAGCTGTATATATGGATGCGGTTCATATATCATTCGATATCATTTTACAAGCTTGGTTGATTACCGATGGGTCCGTATTCAAATGCCACTGTTTACCTAAGACAATCACTCAAACACAATTTGTGTATTTTAATTTAAAAAAAGTACAGTATATGACGTTTCAGATCTATAATGTGGAATTTCTGTCACCCATTAGTTCTCAAATAACAAATAAATTATTTATTAGAGAAAATGGATCGATTATTATTAGTTATAGATAGGCTGCATCACTGCATGTCACCCTAGATCTCCACATAGCTAGGCTGAATGTCACCCTCAACCCTAAATAGCTAGACTGCATGTCACCCTAACCTCCCTATAGGTAGGCTGCATATCACCCCTAAACCTCAAATAGCTAGACCGGATGTCACCCTATGATCCCAACAGCTAGGCTGCAAGTCACCATTAAGATCACACATAGATAAGCTGCATGTCACCCTGTGACCTCAAATAGCTAGACTGCATGTCACCCTAAGATGCCATATAGCTAGGCTACATGTCACATTATGATACCACATAGCTAGAATGTGTGTTACCCTATGATCTCCACATAGCTAGGCTGCGTATCACCCAATACGGCCACATAGCTAGGCTGCATGTTACCCTATAATCCCACATAGCTAGACTGAATGTCATCCTATGATGACACTTAAACTGTGTGTCACCCCTGTAAGGTCACATAGCTAGTCTGTGTGTCACCTTATGTTGCCACATACTACAAATACTTTTCCAATGATTCAACCCGTTCTATTCACTCCGACACCTTCCTCCGTAACTGCTGAGCCCCCCTCCACATGGCCCCCTTCCCCACCAGTGTCTCCAGACTTCTTAATCAGCTCTCGATCCATATTGTCGGACACCTCCCTTAGGCTTCTCCCCACCTTAACGTGCTGTACTCTTAAAAATACAGAAAATGTACAACCTCTCCTACATTATTTCCCTCCCCGTATACATGTTCCCTCCCCATAGCAACTGCCCCTCCTGCCCCCCCCCTCTCTCTCCCTCACCCTGTACCTCACTCTTCAGTGAGCGGCGCGGTCAGTCCCTCCGTTGCCTGGTGTGAGTGAGGGGGTGTGAAACAGCCGTGAGCCAGTGTCTATATATTGTCCAGTTTACTGTGTACTCTGCTTTAACTTTAACACGCGGACACTACCCCAAGTTCCGTGTACACTTTCTGTAGTGCAGTTGCCACCATGATGCCCCCAGCTGGTCTCCCGTAAGTTTATCTCTGGTGTGTTTTGACCGTGCGAGCTTCAACAACACTTACCATGTGCGGGTTTTCTGCTTACCTTGACAAATATTGGGTTGTGTTCCTGCCTCTAGCCCTCTACCATATGCACGCTGGGGTGTAGAGTTCTAATGAATATACCAAAGTACTAAAGAAACAAAAATAATAATTGTAATAATAAAAATAACTAATAATATGTATATAATCATAAAATGATAGGATTATTTTAAGCAACAATTATTCTGCAGTATGTGCTTACATACGGTTTCAGCTCCTAAAGCCCACCTTTAGCTCACTTGCGGATACCGTAGAACTTTTTAGTTTATCTTTATTTACCCGAGGGCCTCGACGAGGACAGGAAGCCGGCGGCTTGTCGAAGGTTATCTTGAGGTTATCTTGAGATGATTTCGGGGCTTTTAGTGTCCCCGCGGCCCGGTCCTCGACCAGGCCTCCACCCCCAGGAAGCAGCCCGTGACAGCTGACTAACACCCAGGTACCTATTTACTGCTAGGTAACAGGGGCATTTAGGGTGAAAGAAACTTTGCCCATTTGTTTCTGCCTCGTGCGGGAATCGAACCCGCGCCACAGAATTACGAGTCCTGCGCGCTATCCACCAGGCTACGAGGCCCCAATCCACCAGGCTACGAGGCCCCCCATTTGCCCTGATAATCTTTTCCAGTTTGATTTTGAAATTCAAGTCTTTGCATTTACAGCTTCGACGGGTAGGCGTTTCCATTTTTTTAATGGGTGAAAAGCATTTCCTTTTCTCAATTCTACAATGCGTCTAGTCGAGCTTGAAATCGTTGCTTCTTGTCTGTTACATTTGACCTTTTGAAGAAAATTTCCGAATCAACATCCACCAAATTATTCTGTATTTTATTCAATGAGATCCGTCTTATGCCTGGTTTGCGGTGTCGTTAGTCCTGTGGCCCTCAACCGTTCCTGATACGAGACATGACTTGCCTCTGGAATGATTTTTGTTGCCAGGTGTTGCACCTTCTCCAGGGCAGCTATGTCCTTCTGAAGATAGGGTCTCCTTGCTTGGATACAGTAAGTAATCCATGTGGGCCCGCACAGAGATTTATAAAATTGAATCGCCACCACCCTTTCCCTGAAGTCTAAGGTACCCTTGATTATTCCAAGGGTTTGGTTAGCTTTTTTGACTGCTGTACCTACCTGTTGTGCAACTTTCAGCGAGTGGTGGATTTTGACTCCATCCTCACTCTGCTGTTATGTAATGCTATTAATTTGGTAGTTGTGGCGTAAGTTGTTATGCTCCACATGCAAGGTCTTGCATTTGTCAACATTAAAAAGCACTTTCCAGTCTTCTGGCCATTTGTGGAGATCACGTAGATCTTTGTAGAGCTCCTATATCATTATTTCCCACTTTACCATACTTTTTTGTCTAATTTTGATGGGGTTTGTAATAATAGCATCTATGTTAGATGTAAATAACAAAAAATGTTGGCCCCCAAAATGGATCCTTAAGGTACCTCATTTACTACATTTACAGCCATCATCACTTAGGCGCTGGTGGCTGAGTTGACAGCGCTCTAGACTCGTTGGACCTAGAGACCGGGGTTCGATCCCCGGCACAAGCGGACGGTTTTGGCCTCCACCACCTTCTCACTTGACTTGTTCCAACCGTCTACCACTCTGTTTGCGAAAGTTAATTTTCTTATATTTCTTCGGCATCTATGTTTAGATAGTTTAAATCTATGTCCTCTTGTTCCTGAAGTTCCAGGTCTCAGGAATTCTTCCCTATTAAATTTGTCAATTCCTGTTACTATTTTGTACGTAGTGATCATATCACCTCTTTTTCCTGTCTTCTAGTTTTGACATATTTAATGCCTCTAACCTCACCTCGTAGCTCTTGCCCTTCAGTTCTGGGAGCCACTTAGTAGCATGTCTTTGCATCTTTTCCAGTTTGTTGATGTGCTTCTTAAGATATGGGCACCATACAATCACTGCATATTCTAGCTTTGGCCTAACAAAAGTCGTGAATAATTTCTTTAGTATTTCCCCATCCATGTATTTGAAAGCAATTCTGAAGTTAGAAAGCGTGGCATAGGCTCCTCGCACAACGTTCTTTATGTGATCCTCAGGTGATAGTTTTCTATCTAGAACCACCCCTAGATCTCTTTCTTTATCGGAATTCTTTAAAGATTTCTCACATAATTTATAGGTTGTGTGGGGTCTGTGTTCTCATATTCCACATTCCATAACATGGCATTCATTCACATTAAATTCCATTTGCCAAGTGGTGCTCCATATACTTATTTTTCCAGGTCTTCTTGAAGGGCATGACCATCTAAGTTTCTTATCCTTCCTATTATCTTAGCACCATCATCAAACATGTTCATATAATTCTGTATGCTAACTGGTAGATCATTTATGAAGACATTGAACATCACCAGTGCAAGAACTGAACCCTGTGGTACTCCACTTGGGACATTTCTCCAGTCCGATACATTGCCTCTGATTACTTCCCTCATTTTTCTATCAGTCAGAAAATGTTTGATCCATGTTAGAAGTTTACCTGTCACTCCTCCAATAGTTTCCAGTTTCCAGAACAACCTCTTTTGTGGAACTCTGACGAAAGCCTTTTTTAGGTCCAGATAGATGCAGTCAACCCAACTATCTCTTTCCTGTAAAATCTCTGTGGCTCGATTATAAAAACTGAGTAAATTCGGTACACAGGATCTTCCAGATTGAAAATCATACTGTCTGTTTGATATTATATCATTTCTCTCCAGGTGTTCTACCCATTTAGTTTTTATTATTTTTTCCAATATTTTGACTATTACACTTGTCAATGATACAGGTCTATAATTGAGGGGGTCTTTCCTGCCGCCACTTTTGTTAAGTTCCTCTCTGCCTCTCTCCTTACTGACGTGTAGTTGTTTCTTGCATCTTTATATCGCTGGTATGTTTGGGGGTTTGGCCTCTTTCTATAATGATTCTATTTTTGTGTCTTTTGATCTCTGGCCCTCTCGCAATTTCTGTTGAACCAACCCTATTTCCTAGGTCTTCATGTCTGTTTTGGTATGAATGTTTGTGTGCCTTCATCGTATATTTTGCAAACTTTGGCATATGTCTCATTTACTTCCTTGCCTGACAACAAGTCTGTCCAATTATACCCATGAAAAAAATTTCTAAGTTCCCCATAGCGTCCTCTCTTGAAATCACGTTTAACAACTGTTTCACTGTCCCCATTCCTACTAGATTATATCGCATAGCGTATTTAATGTCCAAGAGGACGTGATCACTCGTAATGTCCAAGAGGACGTGTGTACTCACCTATTTGTGCTTGCGGGGGTTGAGTTTTGGCTCTTTGGTCCCGCCTCTCAACCGTCAATCAACTTGTGTACAGATTCCTGAGCCTATTGGGCTCTATCATATCTACATTATAAACTGTGTATGGAGTCAGCCTCCACCACATCACTGCCTAATGCATTCCATCCGTTAACTACTCTGACACTGAAAAAGTTCTTTCTAACGTCTCTGTGGCTCATGTGGGTACTCAGTTTCCACCTGTGTCCCCTTGTTCGCGTCCCGCCAGTGTTGAATAGTTTATCCTTGTTTACCCGGTCGATTTCCCTGAGGATTTTGTAGGTTGTGATCATGTCTACCCTTACTCTCCTGTCTTCCAGTGTCGTAAGGTGTATTTCCTGCAGCTTTTCCTCGTAACTCATGCCTCTTAGTTCTGGGACTAGTCTAGTGGTATATCTTTGAACTGTTTCCAGCTTCGTCATGTGCGTGACAAGGCACGGGATCCATGCTGGGGCCGCATACTCCAGGATTGGTCTTACATATGTGGTATACAAGATTCTGAACGATTTCTTACACAGGTTCCTGAACGCTTGTTCTGATGTTAGCCAGCCTCGCATATGCCGCAGACGTAATTCTTTTTATGTGGGCTTCAGGAGACAGGTTTGGTGTGATATCAACTCCTAGATCTTTCTCTCTGTCCGTTTCATTAAGTACTTCATCTCCTATTCTGTATCATGTGTCTGGCCTCCTGTTTCCACCGCCTAGTTTCATAACTTTGCCTTTACTTGGGTTGAACTTTAGCAGCCATTTGTTGGACCATTCACTCAGTCTGTCTAGGTCATCTTGTAGTTTCCTACTATCTTCCTCTGTCTTAATCCTCCTCATAATTTTTGCATCATCAGCAAACATTGAGAGAAACGAGTCAATACCCTCTGGGAGATCATTTACATATATCAGAAACAGTATAGGTCCAAGGACTGACCCCTGCGGGACTCCACTTGTGACGTCTCACCAATTTGAGACCTCACCCCTCACATTGACTCGGTCTCCTGTTGCTTAGGTACTCCTTTATCCAATGGAGTACCTTCCCTCTCACTCCAGCCTGCATCTCCAGCTTTTTCACTAGCCTCTTGTATGGTACTGTATCAAAGACTTTCTGGCAATCCAAAAATATGCAGTCTGCCCACCCTTCTCTTTCTTGCCTGATTTTTGTTGCTTGGTCGTAGAATTCAAGTAACCCTGTGAAGCAGGAATTGCCATCCCTGTGTGTGTGTGTGTGTGTGTGTGTGTGTGTGTGTGTGTGTGTGTGTGTGTGTGTGTGTGTGTGTGTGTGTGTGTGTGTGTGTGTGTGTGAAAAAATCGTTAGTTAGTAACAGTTGATTGATTGACAGTTGAGAGGCGGGCCGAAAGAGCAGAGCTCAACCCCCGCAATCACAACTAGGTGAATAAATTTATCCAGTCAGATTTGGACCCATTTAGTATGACCTTTGTTTTGACCATTGTTTTATCCATTCCAGTATTCTACCATTTATTACACGAGCCTTTAATTTCCTTGCCAGTCTTTCATGTGGTACCTTAGCAAAGGCATTAGCAAAATCCATGTATACTACATCCCTCAGAAGTCCTTGTATGTGTAACAGGTTACCGTTTCCAAAAAACGTGAGCAGGTTTGGAAGGCGCGATCTATTTTTAACAAGCCCCTGTCGATTTGTCAA